AGGAATCATGTGGGAGATGGCATGCAGAACAGAGACCCCTGAACTCCCCACACAGAATCCACCGAGAGGGACCTTGGTCACTCTTATGGCTGAACTGTGTCTCCTCCCCAGATTTGATATGTTGAAGTCCTAAGTCCTACTACCTCTGAATGTGTTGTGCTTGGAGCCAGGTGCATTGCAGAGGTGATTAAGTCCAAACCAGCCCACTAAGATGAGCCTAATCTCATGTGACTGCTGTCCTTATAAGAAGAGGAAATATGGAGGCACAGCGAGATACCATGGGCACAGATGTGCAGAGGAAAGTCCATCGGCGACACAGGCCAAAGTGACCCTCAGCAAGTCGGGAAGAGAAGCCTCAGAGGAAACAAACCCTTGACCCTGGATCAGCCTCCAGACCAATGACAATAGAAATACCGGGTGTTCAAGCTCCTGGTGTTGCCATCTCCTGTGACTTCCCAGCATGAAATGGCCATGACAGGATGATGCTCATTCTCTAGTAATTCTAGTCTGCCTTGATGGATGTTTCTCAAAGCTTCTGACTTTGATGTGTATGTATGTTCACACCCGCTTATGTTCTGTTTAATGGCAAGACTTGGTAAAAATGGCCAGATGGAAGCAGTCAGGCTATGGGCTTCCTGGCTGGGGGTGGATGAAGGCCTATCTGGAGACTCAAGGGGGACTTGGACAGGAAGGCCGAGGAGAGAGACAGGAGGCGCTGAGGTGAGGGGAGCACCCAGGGTCGGCCCTGAGGACAGGAGGAAGCACAGGAGGCCCAGGCAGGAGTGGATCTGGCCGGGGACCAAGGGACGGCTCTTGGAGGATGACAAGGAAGAGAGAAGAGAGAGGCGACGAAGAGGAGAATCTCTCACCTGAGAATCTCGTCCAGCTGGGAAGTCAGAAATTCATAATTTTCATCCAGTCCTACCCACCATCTGATTGGCTTACCATTGTTGCACACAAAGTTTTTCCAACAGTAGTCAAATTCTGAGACAGAAGAGGAAAGAAGTCAGGGCCAGCAGGCCTCTCTGCCCTGACCCTTGCCCTTCCCCTCCCAGGCCAGGTCTCCTGGCTGCCAGGTGCAGTCAGTACTGGCTCAGTCCTCCCAGGCTCCCCTGGGACACCTGCCCTTTGCTGGCCCTGAGGACCTGCCCATCCCTCCTGCTGTCCCTGTTTCACCCACAGCTGACCCCCACTTCTCACCTTCATAGTTCATGATTTCCACGCGGGCCCCTTCCTCAACCAACCTTCGAAGCCCCTGCCTGTAACCTGGTACCCAGAAGTAGTAGAGGCGGGCAGCGTAGATGGTCAGGCTGACTTTGGGATGGGCTGACAGGAACTCGGCCACCTGCTCTGCACAGTAGGCACAGGGGCTCCAGGATATGTACCAGGTGACTCGGTAGTTCTTGTTACGGGGCATGTTTTCCCGGAACCAAGAGAGGAACCACATTTCTGCATAGTAGGATGTCTTGGGAGAGACGTGGGGGAGGAGAATGAGGAATGCAGGAGTGTGAGAGTGGGAGGAGGGGCCAGGCCAGGAGCCCCAGGGCATTGGATTTCTTGGGGTTCCCTTCCTCCATTCTTCTCCTTCCGTCTTTTTAAGTTTAGCCTTCCCAAGCCCGCTCATGGACTCAAGCATCGATCGTGGCGTCCCTCCTCCCAGGTATCTATTCCACAGACACCCTGGCTTCTGCCTGGCCTGGGCCTTGGGGGCAACCTTGTTCCCAGCCCGCTGTCTACTTGGGAAGGCTACGGGGCTGGGCTGTCATAGGGGGACACTGGCCACAGTGGATACTGAGCCCTTGGAGTGTGGCTCTGATTGGAGACAGGGGCATGTATAAAATACACAGCCCTTTTCAAAGACTCCATGTGAGATTAAAAAGAATCTTAACTGCCTCACAAGGAATTTTATAATAACTATAGGTAAATCATATATTAGATACATTGGGCTAAATAAGTTATTAAAACTACATACGAGCTGGGCAGTAGCTCAGCCTGTAATCCCAGCGCTTTGGGAGGCTGAGGTGAGTGGATTGCCTGAACCCGCGGGTTCGAGACCCGCCTGGGCAACTTGGCAAGACCTCATCTCTACAATAAATCAAAAATTAGCCGGGCGTGGTAGCGCGTGCCTGTAGTTCCAGCTACTTGGAAGGCTGAGGCGGAAGGATTGCCGGAGCCCAGCAGGTCGAGGCTGCGGTGGCCGGGAGCGGCCACTGCACTGCAGTCTGGGTGACAGAGTGAGACTCCAACTCAAAAAGTAAAACAAAACAAAACAAAACAAAATAACATACATTCATTTCTGTGAACTGTTTAAGGAACAGGAGCTAGAAATATTTACTTCAGTCATGACCCTGTATCTTTGCAGGACCTGGGACTGCCATAGAGCAGGCCTGTCCATCCCACACATGGCTCCCTCCAAGTACACTCTGAAGTCTCCTGCCTGGGTGGGGAGGGACGGCAGAGGGGGGCAGGACACTGCAGGGAGGTTAGTGGCCTATGTGGGGGTGGCGGGGGGGGGTGGCGTGGGGTTCACCATAGTTCAATGACACGTGCTTGCCATGAAGGAATCAGGGCAGTGAGTGGTGGCCCCACCAGCCCAGCATGACAAGGACCAGACCAGGTGCTGGGTGCTCCAACACCCCTGCTTCCCCAGACACTCTTTCTCAGAGGGTTGCTGGACCCTCTGTTTCTAGGTTTAGGAAACAAGTGGAGACTGGATCAGGGAGGCGGACTCTATGCTAGGACATGGGCGATGCGCCAGACACCCTCCCAACGGGGGCTTAAGGTCTGGGTTTTACTTATTATCATGCCTTCTGTACAGTCGACTGACTGGCTTAGCTCCTGCCTGCGGTGTGATCAGAGGTTGACTGATACCTGGTTTCGAAAGACCCCCCTTTGCAAGAGGACAAGTGAGCGATTCTTTCCCACAGTTTCTACTTCGAAGCATAGCCAGGTGTTTTTCCGATAAGAGAGATAGGGTTTACTTTCAAAGTGGTAGTAGAATGTTTCTGAATACATCCTCTCCATCGGGATTCTGAGGACACAAAGAGAAACCAGAATGCAGGGCTTGTTCCCTGGAGTCCTTCAGACTGACAACCACTGCCACAGTTGCCTAGACACCCTCCATACCTCCATGGCCTTGAGAATTTCTGCTGCCTTCCCAGGCAGGAGGGCTGCAGGGAGGAAGAAGAGGGGATGTGGCAGGGGAAGCAGGATGAGTGACCTCTCCTGGATGGGGTCCCTGCTCTGGTCCTTCCAGTGGGACTCCCCCACCTCCCAGTGTTTCTGCCACCCATCCCTCAGCCCATTAGAAATCAGTAAAAGGGAATGAAATTCTCCACCCCCAAATAACAGCTTTTAGCATTTTGGCTCAATTCATTCCTGACTTCACCTATGCTCCTGACATTTCATAAACTAGAACCCCTAAGTCCATAGGCACGGACTCCTGTTGTGAGTGCTGCCCGTATCTGACTCAGGGAATGTTGTCCTAAGCCTGAGGGGCCATGCCCATTTTACAGATGAAGTGCCTCAGGCAAAGACAGGCGGGCACCCTGCCCAAGTCACAGAGCTGGTGACTGGGTCCCCTGCACTGGCAGCTACTACACCCACCGTGTGAGCTGCAAGAAGGGGCAGTGGTGGATCTGGCTCTCTTGTTAGTAAAGGTGAAAATAAGCGTGTTTCTCCTGGTCATTTGTTTTTTTCCTCCCACTCATTCTGTTTTAGTCAGATCATTGTAGAAGGTGGATTGGGATCCCGCGGGGGGAGGACATTTGTGGACAGCTGCACTGCTCCTCTGTTCACTGCGCAGATCTTGAAAGAGGCAACTTCCCTTGGGCCTCAGATAATTATTTCCCCCTCCCCGCCCTCTCCCAAGACTTTGCATTGAAACCACATAAATTGACTGAAATCCATCGGGTGCTTTGAACCCACTTGTTTCAACCCTCCCTTGGTTCAATTATCTTTGTTTCCAGAGCTCAGGAATGGCGGGAAGTCCCCAAGGGGAAGCACCCCAGGCAGGCGGGAAGGGCCAGGGCGGGAAGGGCCAGCCCAGCCCAGGGCTTTCAGGGTAAGTCTCAGGGAGAAAGGAGCAGGACTGGGTGGGCGGGGAGGGGCCAACTCAGAAGCAGCAGTGGGGTCCCCTGAGCAGGGCAAAGAGCCTGGGTGGCAGTGGGCTCTTCAGAGGAGCCAGAAGGGAGGGAGCCAAGGGCTGGGACGGGCCAAGAGGAGGCGGGGACTGAGGCCCAGCAGGGACCGCCAGACAAGAAGGAGCAGAAGAGGGGCCCTAGCAGACAGTGCTGGCAGTGGTACCTGATCTGCGGATTCATGGGACAGCGTCCAGGCCAGGTATGTCCCAGCTCCGTTGTGTGTCTGAGGCGCCAGGGTTTTATTTCCTGCTTGTAGGGAACTTTTTAGGACAGCCCTCCCTATCGTCACCTTCCAGGGCCTATGAGTGGTGGCTCCACCCTCTTTCTGCACGGGCAGTGGAGTGGGAGGGCCCTGGGGTGGTTGAGCTTTCTCTGGCTTTCACCCTCTTTCTCATTTTCCCTGGGGCCTTTGTCTTGGCAGAGAGACCTCTGATTAAGACACATCCTCGGTGCAGGACCCAAGGGAAAGAGAAAGTCCTTGCAGCCAAAGCCATGGAGGTATGTTAGCCCAGGGCTGAAGAGCGTGGCAGACCTCCCTGGCTTGCTGGATGGAGCAGGCTGTTATCCTTCTGAAGCCTCCTATATAGAATTAATATCGCGTATTGGAATAAAAACTGCAGCTATGATTAGAAATGAACAAATATGTTGCTTCTGAGTTTGCTTGCAATTACTGTGGTATCTGACCCCTGGGGAGGATGGGAAGCTACCCACAAGGCCATTCTACTTATGACTACTTGAGGAGACAGGAAATCTATTGAAAGACAAAAAGTGGCTTCAATTTCTAGGGATCCCACCTCCCTGCTGGACACCTTTCTTTTGGACTGCCTCTGTAATGACTCAGGGCTGGTGGGTGGTACCTGATGGTCTGGGGACTTGTTCTTCAGACAGCATCTATTGTGAAACCTGAGTGCTATCACAGGTCTTTTTCAAACTTTGTACCCTGACAGACCCGAACCCTTACTCAAGCCGGAGCCCCACGAAGTCCTCTACTGTTATAGGCTACATCCAAGGGCGGCTTGTTTATGGTAAAGAAACAGTTCTTAGTAGAATAATAGAAACTAGTCTTTTCTTTATTTTGTAATGATTTTTGCACTGGGTGGGGTGTGGCACAAAACTTATAAGTTCTTTGACTTGACTCTGAAATGAATTTCATAGTGACCAGCATAGTTTTAAAGCAAAGTTTATTAGAGAAAGAAGAGGGGAAAGACAAAGAGACATGCCAGAGCTGGCAGGGGTGAGAGAAAACCGAGCTTTTTGTTTTTGACAAAAGGCCTGATATATCTTCACGATGACTGATACGCTAAAGAGGGTGGAGCCCAGGTAACCATTGATCCTGACAGATTGACATTTCTCTACCTTTGATGAGAGGAGGGGTGTAATGGGTGATCTTTTCCAGAACACAAGCCTTTGTAGAGCTTGCCAGACTTTTGAATACACTAGTTCATGAGTTAAGAGTTGGTGTTATTATCATTTCTATGGCTTTGGTTAGTTAAGGGGTAGTATTCAGGCTTCCACCTTCAACAGGGAACCCAGAAGATTTTGAGTAATTATTGTGCTAAACCATGAACTGAAATGTTGGGCTGGTCTAGTCTTACATCTCTTGAGGTTTTCTTTTTTTTTCTTTTTAGATTATAAAATATAGTTTATTTAGAAATAAATTAGAGCCGGGCTCGGTGGCTCAGCCTGTAATCCCGCGCCTTTGGGAAGCTGAGGTGAGTGGATTGCCTGAGCCCGTGGGTTCGAG